TTGAACATTGGGTAGCACTATGTAAAATCATCTAAGTGCAAATTCTTCAAAATTATAGTGTCTACAGGTCTAGCTTTGTTTTCAAGTCTTTAAGCCCGTTGCTTGAAAAGTATTCAAGTTCGCGAAGCTTGACTGTGCGATTTGGCTTCGCCAAGCATAGTGGCTCCAACTTGATGGTACGACTTTGATTCAAATTAAGCCGACTACTGGGACTGCAGGCCTCAAGGTTATTGCCAGGGCAGATGTGGGAGGTTCAAGGGAAGGGGCCTGTGCCTGGGTTTCGGTTTGGGTTGTTTGGATTGGGTGGGCGGACACCTGTCTGTGGCTCATAGACAAGTTAACAGTTTTCCATTCGGTTGCATGCAGCACTGCAATGGCATGTGTAGAATTCTTAGCAGGAAATGAAGTGCAGCATAAAATATGCATGTGTTGTTAATTAAATTAATTCGTGCACCGCCTGCCGCTGGCTGAGATAATCAGCTTTATTTGGTGTTGAAAGTATTTCTGTTACCTGGCTGGCCATTGTTGTCGATTTAGGAAATTACTGCGGTCTGTGTGCCTAGCCAAGCAAATAAATCAAATCGTCTCGCGCTCGCCGATGATGTGATATGTTCAAATCGAATCGAATTGAGGTAAATCAGATCGCGATTGGATCGAAATGAAGCCGAATGTAATGAGGCTGCAACAACAGTGAGGCACAACAGCACGGTTATGCAAATGCAACAGCAAATGCGCCACAATACAGCGCCACAGCGCCACAGCACCACAGCACCACCACCCACCTCCCCTTTGTTGGTGGCGGTGCAGTTCGATATCGTGCGGTGGTGCGTCTATATCTATAGATATATATTCGCTGCATAATCGCTCCCGTTGCATGTTGCACTCATTAATAATGGGCGCGTTTTTGTTACTGCATTTTATTGCACTTGCTAATCACGCGGCGGCCGTTAAATAATTGAGCTTGAACGCCACCCGGCTCGCACAATTCGTCCAGGATTTCGGCCACCTCGGTGCGTTTCGCTTCCGTTTCGCATTCGAATTGGATTTATTAGTTTATTTTAGTGTTCCTCGTTAGCGCTCTGTTAACCGCCCCAAATCGGTCTTTATAGCCTATTATATCACGAATTTGGCACCTCTGTTTCAGCTACAATTTGGGGAACTGATAACTAGACCGCAAATTAATACGAAACCAAACCGAGTTAAATTATAAAGACATCTTAAAAAAGGATTTTATTTTTGTCCAATAAATTATAAAGCCTAACACATAAAGCATATTCATTACCTAAAAGAAATTCAAGCATGAATCCCACAGTATTTCATTGCTCTTACAACATTTTCCGAACGACAGTGGATGGATATGTATTTTCATCTTTTATTTATTATCTTAATGGCTAGGCACAGAATCGTATTCTATGGCTAGATAAGTTAGTTCTAGGTATAGCTCTTATTTTGTTCTCTTTTACATGCTATTTACACTCATATAACTTTTATGGGGCTTAAGAGTAAGGTATGTTGTAAACCAAACGAACGTAAAACCTAACTTCATAATTGGTATCAGTACATTTGTTTTTGGGCACTATTAGCTAGTTCTAATGCGATGAAGAATAGTGGGGGCGCATTTAATAGATCATTCAGTCTCTCTACTCAAAGCCCGCCGGTTGCATGAGGAACTGGTGTTGGCTGCTCATTGCCGGCAGCTGTATGTCTTCCATGGTCATGGATGTCTTGGGGATCTCGATGGTCTCCACTGAACTTCCCGCTCCTCCATCATCCCCCTCCAGCATGGCACTGTCGAAGCTCTTATTGAGGCGATCGTGGAACTCGGTCATGGAGATTTTCTTGAGTGCGAAGCGCTTGCCAAAGGTCTTCTTCACCTTCTGGCGGCGCCTCTTCGACAGGATTTTGTTCTTGTTCAGACCATCGCTGAAGGATATGGCCCGGCGAAGTTTGCGACCCCAAACCTTGACTACCTTCACTTGGCTGCTGATGGAGCACTCCTCGCTGTCGTCCTCAGCATCGGCGGCATTCTCGTCGCTGGGTTCCTCGAAGATTGTCTCCAGATTGGTGGGCGTGAACTTTTTCATGCGCTTGCTGGTGTAGATCTTTTCAATGCTCTTAAGCGTTTGAGCATTTGTGTTCAGCTCTTTGCGTTGCTTCTTTTTGACGGGTTTCATGATGGCGCTGCAGATCCGGTTGAAGTTGTCCTTGGACACCCTGGCGGGCATCCTGCGACGGGCCACGCCCGCTCGAGCTCCAAAAGTGGAACTTCGTCTGGATGATCCACTGATGCAATCGCTGTCGTCATCATTGTCCTCGCAGCGACTCAACTGGGAGTCGACATCGTCGGAGTCTTGCGATGGACTGCTGACATTGTCATCGGAATCAGGTGCAGCTATGGGCTCGGATGTGTCCTGCATCTCCTCCATGTCCGACATGGCCATCTCCTTCAGTCGCCACGAGAGATTCGAGCTGGTGGATGACCTGAATTGAGGGTTTTCAGGGTGGTTCCCGGTAGATGTATTCTAAGGCTCACCTGTTCTCCTTTGGTTGAAACGTGATTTTGGCAAAGTCGTAGACAATGTTATCCATTATATGTGCCGTTGAACTCTAGAAATACTCATTCCTGAAAGCATGAAAACTGAATGCATATGTACATATGTATGTATAGTTTTCTATTTCTGTGGAAAGTTTGATTTCCTGTGTATTAGCTCAAAGATATCAGTTGATGATATCAGCTCTGCTAAGTAACTTGAAACAGGGTTCTAGGAAGTCAAAGATTACCTATAGTTTACTAACCTTTCTAAAATAGCGCATTTCCTTGTTGTTAAACCTTTTTTTCTGCAGGCGTCTGTCTGAAAATGCAGATCTTTGTCACTCCGGGGGGTAATTTATCGGCAAATTGTTATTTTAAGCAAAATGTATCGCTGCCCAATTGGGTTTTTCCTGAAATCTGGCTTCAGCTATATGCAAAGATGCCGCAAAGTCCTATTTTGCATACAATTAAATGGCAAAATTACAACTTTTGTGTTCTTTTTGTAAAATAAACAGCTTGGATTAGAGCTGGTTCAACCACTCACAATACTATCGATAAGTCGAGTATTCGGGTTCGGCCAACAGCGATAGTTCCGGATAAATGAGTAGCTATCGATTTTTTACTGTGAAGTCAAAGCTTGCGGTACTTTCAAAAACATTTTATCAATAGAATTCAATAGCTTGAAAGCATATTTAAGGTGAATCAAATATCATAGCTTCCTAATGAAAATGTCGTATATTATGCTCTGCTGTTCAACTGAGCAGAGTAAAAATGTGGCAAGGCCAAATGGGTGGTGCAGTCGCTTACTAAAAGAGTGGCAGCACTGCTTGAAAGCAGCCGTTGCATTTGAATAGTTTAAGTGTGTTCCTATCCGAAAAAAATTCGTTCTAAGCTACTGTGTATTTTATCAAAAAGTTCAAAAGTGCACGCTGCACTTTATACACAAATAGCTGTTTATATTTGTGTAAAATACAATCGCTTTTCGGGTAAAGTCCTTTAGGATAATAACAATAAACCAATATATTTTATTGTCATAATAAATACAATTGTGACAAGCCTTCTTTGATAACAGGCACATTTAAATCTTATCGAGAGTGCCAATTTCCATTCGAAAGATTTCGTCCGGTTGGCTTAACTCCGCACACGAAACATGGCCCGTGGCTATCTGGGTGTTGTAAATAATGTTTCCAGCGGATTAATTCGTATTCAGTTGGAAAAAGGCCTATAAAAGTGGAGCCTTTGTTTGTTTTCGATTATTAGGTGTGCTAAACTTAAGTAAGATGAAGGTGCTAGCAGTTCTGCTTCTGGGGGTGATTGCCTCCGCCACGGCTTTCGAGAAGCCTGTTTTCTGGAAGGATGTGCCCGTGGGCAAGGCCTCGATCGAGGGTAGGATCACCATGGGATATCCTGCCTACGAGGGCAAGGTGCCCTACATTGTCGGCCTGGGCTTCAGCAAGAACGGTGGAGGCACCTGGTGCGGAGGCTCCATCATCGGCAACACCTGGGTGATGACCGCCAAGCACTGCACCGATGGCATGGAGTCGGTGACCATCTACTACGGAGCTCTCTGGCGCCTGCAGGCACAGTACACCCACTGGGTGGGACGTGGCGACTTCATCGAGCACGGATCTGGTGACATCTCCCTGATTCGCACCCCCCACGTGGACTTCTGGTCGCTGGTCAACAAGGTGGAGCTCCCCAGGTACGACGATCGCTACAACAACTACCAAGGCTGGTGGGCTCTGGTCTCCGGATGGGGCAAGACCTCCGACGATGTCGGCGTCTCTGAGTACCTGAACTGCGTGGATGTCCAGATCGGCGAGAACTCCGTGTGCGAGAACTACTATGGCAGCTTCTCCGGCGACCTGATCTGCATCCCCACGCCCGAGAACAAGGGCACCTGCAGCGGCGACTCCGGTGGCCCATTGGTTCTCCACGACGGCAACCGCCAGGTGGGCATCGTGTCCTTCGGCTCCTCCGCCGGCTGCCTCTCCAACGGTCCCAAGGGAATGGTGCGCGTCACCAGCTACCTGGACTGGATCCGCGACCACACCGGCATCTCTTACTAAAATGATCATTCAATAAATTTGCACTAAACGAAAATGAAAGGACTTCATTGATTTCCTTTACTGGCGATCAAGTTGCATAAGGGCTAATATATTTGAAGGAACTAAACTAAATATTGCATAAGGGCTTATATACCTCAAGGAACTAAGCTAAATATTGCATAAGGGCTTATATACCTCAAGGAACTAAACTAAATATTCCATTAGGGCTTATATACCTGAAGGAACTGAAGTAAATATTACATAAGGGCTAATATACCTGAAGGAACTAAGCTAAATATTACATAAGGACTTATATTCCTGAAGGAATTAAACTATTCAATATAAAATCCTGAAGTTTTGCAACATCATATAAAACGACATATAAGCTATTTAGAATAGATCATAGATCGTAGTATTTTTGTAATGTCAAAAGGATAACAAAGGACAACAAAGGATTTGGATGCACAATTGTATTTCGTTTATTTTCTTGAAATGGCGAAACTTATTAGTAAGAAATGCCAGTATGGTCACGGATCCAGTCCAAGTAGCTGGTCACTCGGGTCAATCCCTTGGGACTGTTGGACAGGCATCCCAAGGCGGATCCGAAGGACACGATGCCCACCTGGCGATTGCTGTCGTGGAGGACGAGTGGGCCGCCAGAGTCTCCGCCGCAGGAGCCCTTGTTGTCTGGCGTGGCATAGCACAGGTGGTTGGGGGTGATGAACGTGCTGCCGAAGTGCTCCACGCAGACGTTATTGTCCGATATCTGGATGTCCACGCAGTTGAGGTAGTCGGTCATTCCGCTGTTATCAGAGCTGGCGCCCCATCCGGAGAGCAGGGCCCACCAGCCGTAGAAGTTGTTGTAGCGATCATCGTACCTGGGCAGCTCCACCTTGTTGACCAGCGACCAGAAGTCCACGTGCGGTGTGCGGATCAGGCCGATGTCGTTGTGCAAGTTACCGGTATCGTACTGCGGATGGGTAATCAGATCCCATGAAACGTGGCTGAACTGCGGCTGGTTGCGCCACACAGCTCCATAGGCGATGTTCACGTAGCTGGCTCCGTGGGTGCAGTGGGCCGCCGTGAGTATCCATTCGTGGCCAATGATCGAGCCGCCGCAGAACCAGCCACCACCGCTTCCGTTATCGAAGAGCAGGGAAACGATGTAGGGCACCTTTCCCTCGTAAGCCGGATATCCATTGGTGATACGTCCGTTGATCTTCTTCTCCGCGGGCATGTCCTTTACGGGGACAGGCGTTTCTAGAGCCGCCGCCAAGGCAAAAGCCGAAATTATCAGAACACCAAGCACCTTCATCGCCTTATAAGTTTTCCACTGGAAGCCAATCCCCTGCCTGTACTTGTTTATATAGTCTCCAGAATGAGTGGGTCTATTGGTTCTACATTTTCGTAATCAGTCTGGTCGAAGATTTACGATTTCCTTTCTTATTCGATTATTTCGAATGTCATGCAAGATACTTTGTATATATATACTTTGGGCAAAGATGTTCAATAAAAGAGGTACTTGAAGAATAAAAGGGCTCGCTGAAAAGTATGCAACAGTTATAAGAATGCTTTTCCGACCGTAGTTTGTTTGTCAATACGATGTCACGTCCCTTTTAACGCTCACAGTTCCGAAAAATAAAATTTTCTAAAATTTTAGTTGTGGTTTTTCCAAATTCTATCGATATGCCAGAAAAGTCTTACAATAACGTCCTTCCACTAGCTGAGTAACGGGTATCTGATAGTCGTGAAATTCGACTATAGCGCCTTGTTGTTAGCTAAAAAGTATGCTACAAAATAAATTTGAATTATGTTATAAACAAAACAAATTTATTTTTCTGCAATTGACCAAAGGAACCAACTGGGTAATTCTTTGGACATCCTGCGCTGGATACAAATTTTTTCAAATTAGTTCTGCAGAAGTTTCCCCAGAAGTGAAGAGTCGTTGCTTTAGTCAATAATCGCTTTATTCATGATGTGCTTAGTAGGAAACGCCGGAGTTGCTCTTGATCCAGTCCAAGTAGCTGGTCACACGGGTGAAGCCAGCAGGGGCACCGGACTCGCAACCAGCGCTGGACACGAAGGAGGTGACACCGATGAGCTTCTTGTTGCTGCTGAGGACCAGTGGGCCGCCGGAGTCGCCGTTGCAGGTGGAGATCTTGTTGGGGGTAGCAACGCAAATCACCTTGGAGGTGGCGATCAGAGAGCCATAGGTGCCCTGGCAGGCTTCGACGGACACAACATTGAAGACATCGTACTGCAGGGTGTTAGCGACGCCGGAGGCAGAATCGGAAGTCTTGCCCCATCCGGAGGCAATGGCCTGCTGGCCGGCGTAGGTGGAGTAGGTGCCGGCGAGTGCGGGCAGCTCAACCTTGTTGATGTCGCTGGTGAAGGAAACCGATGGGGTCTTGATCAGGGAGATGTCGTTCCTCAGCACAGCCGAGTTGTAGCTGGCATGCTGGATGAAGCTGGAGCTGGAGACGGTCTGGGTCAGCTTGGCGTTGGTGCGCACGGTGGCTCCGTAGTAGATGGTCACAGAGGAGGCACTGAAACAGGTAGCACGCGTTATAGTTAACAACTCATATAATCATATAGGTATTTTAATTCAGCGAGCTGTTTCCTTCAAAGGGAGAGTACTCACCCAGAGGTGCAGTGAGCAGCAGTCAGAACCCAGGCGTTGTCGATGATGGAACCACCGCACCACCAGCTGCCGCTGGAGCTGCCGAAGCTTAGTCCCACCTGGTAGGGGAACTGGCCGGCAACGGCGGTCTTGCCGTTGGTGATGCGACCCTCGATCGTGGCCACGGCGGGCAGGTCACGGGGATGGATCGGCAGCTGCTGGGGCAGCAGACCGGCGGAGGCGGTGGCCAGAGCAAGGGCGAAGACTACGAGCACTTTCATGATGGTCGGAGAACGAATGATTCTACACCGGCCACGGCTTCACTTTTATACAATTCAACTGGAACGCTTATCGTTGGCCGGCCTCTTGTGTTCTGACCAAGTCATTTCTGTTTATTCGCGTGAAATGGCTTATCAGTTGTGGATGTCGGCCAAAAAGGATGTAGACCTACTTATTGTCTTTGATTGACCGGAGCCAAAAAAGTATCTGCTCTTATCGCACTGGTAGGAGACGGTGGTCAGATTGCACACCGCAGGCTTTCAATTAAACGCACTTCACAGGCGAACTGGCGGCAAACGTCGCCCACTCGTCTGATAAGTGGTAAGTGATAAGTGTGAAGTGTTAAGTGATAAGCATAGATTTCGCTAAACAACGGCAGTGATATTTAGCCAAACGGACGACTTTGGCTGACTTTTGCACTGGTTTTGGGTGAATATTTATAGCTGGAAAAACCGGCTAAGCGAAATCGGTTTAATCGAATTATTTGATTACTTTCGGGAGCCATCGATCAGAAATTGTTTACGGCGACACTCACCGCAGTCGAGTGGGTGAAATTCCCAGTGATTATCTGATGGTCGGACCCAAATCGTATTAAGCATACGCAGCGGTGTGCCAAACTTGCCAACTCATTCGGGTGGGCGGGCAAAGATGACAGTGGCAAGTTGAATCTGGGAAATTGAAATCAAATCGTCTTACGTGTCCGGCATGCAAAAGCACACCGGATTTTGGGGCCACTCTGCGGAGCAGGATCCTGCCGGACATTAGCACATAAAAACAATTCATTGCCTTTCGTGCTGACACATGTAGTGTGTAGTTGCTGTCGGGCAGTGACTTTTGTGGGCTACAGTGCGTGTCTGGGCCATAAATGCCAAGCATAAAGTAGATTTCATCTTCAAGGAGAGGCGAACACTTTGGCCTGCAGAATTTTTCATTTATTTAATCCCTATATTAACTGCATTTTATTGATTTTACTCTGCCGCTCGTTTTGTTTGCCCTGCACTGTTGGGCGCTTTTATGCTTGCTTCTTTCGCTGATTGTGGGAAATTTCGCTTCTTTTGTCTCAGACTCTCTCCCCCACTGGAGGAACAAAGGAAACTAATTTTCCCGAAATATTTGCTCTCGTTGTTTTGGGAGCAGCATTTTTAAAGCAATCCACAAGTAAAAAAGGGCCGCACTTTAAATTGCTGGCAGAGACGTATGTAATACACTTATACTAGTACTCCCATATAAATGTATATTACGTATACGTAATGCGCTCACCCGACACACACGCTTATTAGACGCATTTCCGGCTGCGACAACGACAGCCTGAACAACAATGTCCAGTCCTTTCGGATAAAAGGAGCACTCGGCTTGCCAAGCAGTTGCGTAGAAGGGGGCGAGCAGGAAAAGGATACGAATATTCATCAGGATATGGCTGCGCCCCTGGCTCAAGTGGATATGAACACAGTTGGGGCAAAAATAATAGCAAGCAAAAGGCAGAGAAATAGATATGCCAATTTACTAACCTTTCGATACAAGTTTTCATATTAAATATTTGAATATTTCCACAAACAAATTTTTATATTAATACAAGTTTTAAATGAAGTTGTAGTTCTTATATTCGTGAACTAATTATACTTAGATCGCATATGAAAATATACAAAAATATACCCATACATGTGTGTTCGGGTCCTTAGGATGGCATTTCAAATGTCCCCCAGTGTGCGCGCTCCTTTGACGAGGAAAAGAAAAAGGACGAGACGACGACGACGACAAACAAGATTGCAGCAATAAAATTTCGACAAGTGAACAACAAATGATAAACGAAGCAGCAGCTTGGGATAAAAAGCAGCGGCGGCAGCGAAGGGAGCAGCTCCCGGAGAGGTCAGTCAGTTGGTTCTGTTGGGGAGCACTTGAAATGCTGGTGGCTGGCCAAGGACTCCGTCCGGCTCACTTCAACCGGGCTTGGCCCACTCCGGGACGACCATCTAATGTGAGCCGCATCGATTACGCTTCCACTGGCACTCGGATTGTGTGTTTTGGCTGTCGCTATTCCCCCAATCCAATAATGTTGAAACGGGCACTTGGAGAAATATACAGAAAAGCACTGTTAACGTGTACTTAAAACGCTTTCAGGGTCCCTATCGAAAATAATAGCTGAATCCTTTATAAAAAATAAAAGTAAAATACTTGATAAAATTGCTGGCTTAATAGCTAGCGAAGTATGTCAATCTGAAGGATATTGCTTGGATCATTATGATTTTAATTTCTTTCCGCGCTTTTGAGCAGTGCAGCAAATATCGTTGAGCTAAGTTTTTTGTATTAAATTGTGATGAAAATGTCCCTGTGCCTGCGGTCAGCCCAAGAAATCCGTCTCCGACTCCTTGTTGACCAGAATTAATGACAACTGTCTGGCCCAGCTGACCCGCCCAAACTGCTCTCATCTTGGTGCTGTCGCAGATGACTTATCACCGGGAACTATGTCTATTTTCTGCTATAATTCAAATTGCTTTTCGGGATGTCAACAGCAGCCGCCTCATTAATCATGCCTCCCGGAATAGTCATAGTCTCACATTGCGTATGAGTAATGTCCTTCGCAGCCACCTTTTCGGCAGGTTCCGAAACTTGCCAGCAACTTATCGCCTCATTTTATATCATCCCATTTTCAAGATGTTACTCAAACCTCCCTCTAAAATGCATTGCAAAAGTTTGCCATATATATATATTTTTTTTTTCAAAATGCAATTTGCCGCTGCACTTTGCTTGGTAAGTAGAGATGTTAGAGTGACTCACGTTTGAAGGGAACACCCTACCCTCAATTCTGCGACCCAAGTTAACCCGGGACTTAGCAGGTCCCGGGAATTGGTCAAAGTTTTGTGTTGCAGTTTGTCAACTCGTTTTTAATGCGCGATGTATTGAAAAAGTTTGATTAGGGAGCAGCTGGCAGACTGAGGAGCTCCTTCCAGGTGCCGAACCCAACCTGAGTGCAATTTCGCACCAGAAAACTTGATAAAAAGGGAGCTTAGCGGCGAATGGATGGCGGCGGTTGAGGTGGTGAGCATTGCACATACGCCCTGTTGTACCGATGCTGTGGCATCGACCAACTGTCAATATTCTGACACAAATCCGGCGAACAGACGACAAACACAAGTGGCCAACATTACATTTTATGCGCTGGGATCAAACTAAGTTATTATATGGGGATACATAAAAGTATATGTACATGTATGAATATCGACTTGGCTGGGCAAATATTTGAGGGAAACGCACAGCGTGGACAATTTTTGCCTTCTCTGTGATTTTCTATCAATAAGCTGACGGCATCCCGTCGACTTTTGCATATGAGAAGGCTCAGCCTTTTTCCAGCTCGAAATATATAAATATAAATTCCTGCCATGCAAACAAATCCTTTTCGATAGATTGCTTTTGGCTTGGTTCCTTTATTTTTTCGCCACCGTCGCTTTTTATTATTGTGTGCCAACGCCAGGGATTTTTGTCTACTATGACAATTGGATTTTCACGGAGTGAAAGACGAAGTTGCTTGGATGTTTCGAGGCGAAACAAGTACGTGTCCCCATCGGAGGTGGTACTTGCCAGCTTATTGGCATTGGCACATTGGGGTATCGAAAAAAGAAGAAAAAATACAAAATGATTTCGCTCGGCCCGCATCAATGACTTGTGAATACTCACTGCGAATTCATCCTATTGTTCCGGGCATTCTTGGCACCGAACATTGCAACTTTCCTTTGTGTCCCTGCAGTGTCTTGTCTGCCAGAATTTGAATGCAGCCTGTTATTTTGGTCGAGCATAGTTAATATCCTGTGCAGACTGCTCATTCAGTCGGGAATCTCCTTTGTTGCGACTTCATTAATGCCTCGAATTTATGAAATATCTCCGCATTCCGCTTGATGTAATGCTTGGCTCTTGTTTGTGTCGGAAAACATATAACTACTCATCAAATTTTAGCATGCGATTATTTATATGCATATGCAGCTGGGTCTGGCAAATGCTTTATGGCGCTTATAAACATTTTGTTTGCCAATATATTTTTTGGTTTCTGCTCTGGCTCGTGCCGCACTTGCTCTTGTTGTAATTTCGGTTTATTGTTTTCTATATATTTTTCTGCTTGAACGCACTAAAAGCCACTCCACTGCCAGTCAACCATTCAATCCACCTTCCTCTGGACGGGTTCCTCCCATATTTCCTCCTCGATGCCGGCATTTGTTTGTTTTATGTCTTTATTTTGTGCCCTGCCGGAGGAGCAAAGTATTATTATTTTTTGCCCTGCTCCTTCTGCTCCTCCTGCTGCTCTGGCTCTCCTTTTTTACTGAGTGATGGCTCTAGGTAATGCCAGGATACCAGATACCAGATACCAGGATGCTAGGATGGAGGCATGGGGATTTCGGTGAGTGCTCTCTGAGCGGCTTTGCATATGGCCGTGAGTGTGTGGACTATCTACTTGATATGTGCGGAGCTTTTGGGGAAATTTTCGAGACCCGGAGATGTTTCAATTATTGTTACCGTTGTTAGCCCAAAAGCAAACGCACTTCCTTAAGTATTCCTCGAGTTCCGTCTATAGCCAGAAAGTAAGCCATTAACTTTTCCCGTCAATCAATTGTCACTCCCAAAGGGAAAACAAGAGGCAGGAAAAAAGCAACACGAAAACAAAAGGCACGAGACCATGACAAGACATTTTACTTTCATGTGAATGAAATGAAATCAAGAGAAAAGGCGAAGTATGTTTTCGACAGATGAAAAGGTTGACTAAGGATTGCTCTAACAAGCGATTTGTTTGGTTTTATTTCTCAAGAAACAAATAATGTTTCGATACTAATAAACCCGTAGTCATTTTTATCATTCTGAAAGTTACAACCAAAGCTGATAAGTGGCATTTTTTATCTGAGACTCCATCGCCATCTAAGATTCTAAGCACCTCAGGTATTTGGTGAGGTGAAGATACCCTCTCTTAATTTCGATAGGCTTCCGGAATATCTGAACACTACTGATAAGAAATCAATTTTTATCGTAATATAATACGTTTTAATGTGTTCTTATCAGAGGAAAGTCACTAGAGACATTTGAATGAATTGCATAAAAGCAGAAGCTATCATATCATAACTTATCGCAAGTCGACATTTCCATTGAGAATAAATACAAAAATATTTATGGTTATTCGCACTATGGAATCAAAATATTAGCCATTTCCTTTGCCCCAAAATGAGGAAATTAAACAGCTGAACGGCTTGAAACTGAATTGGAAATCTGCAGTTCATCAAAGGAACCCACTTGGAGCAGAACAAGTATCGCCACTCCATCAGAAGTCAAGGCAAAACTCTTTGTCTCCGGTTCCGAACAAAAAACCAGCGAACTTTGCCGTCAAGTCATTGTGGTGGATGCTGGGTGAACTTGTTTTCGAGCGTTGGTGGTTCAAGTGGAGCCACCAGCAGCGCCGCACCAGGACCCAAGTGCTGTTTGGATTTCATTATACAATTATCTTGTTACCAGAAATAATGGTGTCGAGCCGGGCAACATGCCAAAAGCATTCAATGAGCCCGATGCGCCTTCCACTTACCCCGGCTGCCACTCGGTGGGTGGACTGCCAGTCACTCAGTCAGTTATCCCCAGTTAGCCCAGCCCAATCCCTGCCAGATTCGCACACACACACATGTGGGCAAGCCGGATGCTGAGCGCGTTAGGAAAAGCAGGAAGTCATTAGCCGAAAAAACTCTGGTGATGGCGGTTCCAACTGGGGTTGCAAGCAGCCAGTAATGCGATAAATAAATGAAAATGTTTGAGTTAAATGAATTAAGTGTGTGATACTCGGGCTGTGTGTGTGTTTGTTTGTGTCTCTTGGTTTTGGCATGGGGCTTTTTCGCTAGAAACACTTTCGGTGTTGTCCTGTCATCGCAAGTGACTTGGGGTTGTTAAGTGCTGAAGCAATAGTAATTGTTTGGCGCTTAATTAGCCGAACATCATTCGAAGGGGTTAAGAAAGTGCCAGTCAACCAGTCAAACTTGCCCCTGAGTTAAATTATTTCCCTGACTATAACATTAAAATCATTAAGGCAGAAATTTCATCCTAGTCATCCTAGACTTCCTGAAGTGGTTACCCAGAAGTTCAAAGTAATGCGGTTAGGAAGGCCGTAACTAAAGTTATTTAATATGTTTTAATGTCACTTTTGCATCAAAAGCAACCGCATGTATAATGAAACCCAATTATTTCAATAATTTGGTCAGTTAGTCTTAGAGTTAATGCACAGAAGTGTTAAAAGTGGTTAAATGCTAAAGAATCACTTTGCTTTATTTCTGTTTTGTAAGTAAGTTAGAAGGGCTTGAAGTCCCTCTTTCTGTGCTAATTAACTTATCCCACTGATATGTGGTCCTATTTGGTAAAACTATTTGAAGCCATGGTCATTTTCGCTATGTGCTGACCTCGAAATGCTGAGCTTGCAGATGTGTAAACGTCTGCTCTGGTTTTTTGATTTTTTCGGTTGGCTAATTTTGACTCCATTTAATTAATTATGTAGCCGACTCATGGCCCCGCCAAAAATCGTTAATTAAGTTGATTGCTTTGAATTGGCTGGCATTTATTAGCCAGGATTGCGTTGTTGACTCCCCGGTCGAAAAGTCCTTTCGCCCCACCCGTTTTATTCGGCCATAATTGATGAGCTGACAGTACGTTAATTGATTTTGCTCTGCGCTTAGAGCTTCCTATACGGTGCGAGAATTGATTTTATTAGCTGCCACATGGAACGGACATAAATATTTAATTGGTGCGAACTGGGTCAGAGGTCAAAAGGAAGTCGCACTGATGTCGATGAACCAACTTGGCTTTGATTGCCCCGCTCACCGGAATGGTGAAGATAGTGAATCACTATCATTGGACCAATAAATAAATTGCAACTTTAAGTTAATACACGTCAGATTAACAAAAGCAAAAACTAAACTTTACACACCCTCAAGAGTTAAAGAAATATTTCATCTGTGTATGTCCGCCGGCTGGCAAAATTGATAACCAACAGAGCAAGTCGAAGAAATCCACTTGACCAACTGACTGCCATTGGCGAGCAACAGAAATGGCCCAAACGAAGTTGACTTCAATCAGCAGGGAAGTGAAGTTTGTGGCAAGAAGGAGGCGAAGTTCAATCAGAGCATTGCGACTGCGAAAAGTGGATTTTAAATAAAAAACTTTGGCCATAAACACTCGTTGTCCGCTTTCCGGGTTGACATTTTAACTAACTTTGTCCGCATATGCACACATACACATACCCACACTGAAAGCCGTAGTAACTTCTGCGTTTTTTATTTCGACTGGCTATGTATGATATTTTGTCATATCTAAACCACAGCATACGAGTGCAGGAAACTTTTTGTGCTGTCATAAATTTCCGCAATGCAAACATTTATCAGCACGACTGGACCCCTTAACCCTCCACTGGGCGTGGGGGTCTGCCCTTCCAGCCGGCTTCCACTTTCAAGCTCAGCTGCTGCTATTTTCCCTGACTGACTTTGTTATGTCTCTGGATCTGGATCTGGTTTTCGGTTCCAGTTTCTGTCCCCGTCTCCATGTTTTGTCCTTTGCCGGCTGGCTCGTGTTGAGTAAATGCTTTTTATGCGGAACCGCAGGACCATCTGGTGCGGACTGGATTTTGGGCATCACCTGCCATGCTCTTACATGTGAGGATTCTGCACTGTTAGAAAATGCTATGAAAAAGTTCTCGAATTTAATGGGCTGCGAATAAAAGGTGACACATGCATGGCAGCAACTTTCGTCATTTCTTTAAATGCTTCGTAATAATTCAACTGTTGACATATTGTCTGCCTTTTTTCTTTCAACTTTCACTTGAAACTTTTACTCAACTTTTTAGCTTTTATTGTGTCGTTAGGCAATTTAATGAATTTTAATGAGAAACTGCTTGGTCCTGCATTCCATTTTATTTGTCAAGAACTAATATATCAGTCAAAAATAATATTGGCACATACTAACTATATTTTAAATTGATTCAAAAAAGAGACAGAGCCTGTAGAACACAAGTCCTCTTTTGATCAAAATGAAGCAAACTAAATTAATACTTGTTATTGTACGAAATAAACATGTGTGTCCCGCCATAGAATTACAAACACTTGGAAGTTTTTCGAAATGATTTTTATTTTTGCAAGATATTTAGTTCCTGTCTCCTTCTTAGGCGCTAGTGTTGTCCTGGATCCAGTTCAAGTAGCTGGTCAAACGGGTGAAGGCAGCGGGGTAGCCCTTCTGGCAACCGGCAGCGGCACCGAACGAGGTCAGACCGATCTGGACCTTGGATTGCTTGAGGACCAGAGGACCGCCGGAGTCACCGTTGCAGGTGGACTGGCCGTTGGGGGTGGCGACGCAGATGTTGGAGGAGGTCACGATCGAGGAGCCGTAGGTGTTGGCGCAGACGGAGTTGGCGATCACAGTCAGATCGACGAACTGGAGGTTGGTGGCCACGCCGCTGTTGTCGCTGGTGCGTCCCCATCCGGAGGCGACAGCCACCTCACCGGTGTAGGTCGAGTAGGAGTTGGCGATGCTGGGCAGCGCGACAGGGGCGATCTTGCTGCTGTAGGAGACGGCGGGGATCTTGATCAGGGAGATGTCGTTCAGCAGCTTAGCGCTGTTCCAGCCGGAGTGGATGATGATGTTGGAGCTGGACACGGTTTGGGTAACCTCGGCGGAGGTACGCACGGTGGCGCCCAGGTAGACAGTCACGGACTGAACTCTGCGATAGATCAATCAAACAGTTGGTTAGGACTGGTAATAGGATTGGTAAGAGACACTTACCCGTCGGTACAGTGAGCAGCGGTCAGGACGAAGGAGTTGCTGATCAGGGAGCCACCGCACCAGGCGCTGGACAGAGCACTCAGCTTCAGGGAAAGTCCCACCTGGTAGGGGAACTGGCCGACGGCGGCGTTGCTTCCTCCGGTGATGCGACCTCCGATGTCGCCGACCACGGGCATCTCACGGTTGCGGAGCTGCAGCTCCGGCTCGGGGAAGGCGGAGGCGGCCACGGCCAAGGCAAGGATGATCAGGAACTTCATCTTGGGAATTGTTGCTTGTTCAGTTAGTGGAACTCAACTGGTTGACCAAGGCCCAGCTGGGCTTTTTTATACTGGCCAGGTCGCGTCTGGGATTGGGTTGCAATTCAGAAACAAAGCGCTCCCGATAAGATAGGACCACTAAAGGCGGTTCGAACTACTCGTATGTTACCTTATCTGTTGAGATTTTGTGCGGAAGATATGAATGAATGAGCTTTAGCCACACGGTCGCCAAAATTACTTTCCCAACCGAAAGGTATTAATCCCGATACGGATCTAATCTGGGCTCTGGGCCACGAGCGAATTTCCGAGATCTTGCCGATGTGATACCAGAAGCCTAGCATGAGGTTGCTAATTAATTTGATTAGTCCTACACATACAAGGTATATACATAAATATATATTACTATAAAAAATTGGCAAACGTTTGTTTTGCTCTTCAGCGTATCTTATAATTCCCATAGTAGACGAGTGCTATCTTATCGCCTGTCCGTGAGTTGAGAAGCGGTAAGCCAACAGCTTAGTTGGGATTTTTAGCTTCGATAAAGGTCAAGGAGTAGGACGTGAGTTGGTCAAGACTGCTGCAACTTCATGGAAAAACCGGAAAACCGGCCAAACAATTGCGTATCTGCATTCCCGTCGCCGTCGATTCCACGAATCCAGACACGCAAATTTGAGTTGTTTTCGCCACCGCAGACTTTCTTTATCAGCGACTGCCGCGTGATTTTATGACGCGTTCAACCGACCACATCACTGCGGTTAATAGCCAATTGAAGGCGATTAGCGGGAGGAGGCGAGGGGGTCTGTACCCAATATGCCCTCACCCAAAAACGGACACTCAACTCAATGATTTCAATTTCAGTGGCGAATTCATCAGCAATTTCCACGGGATTGTTATTTTTCTTTTGTGCCTTTATGGAGCTGCCCAAATTGACTTGGTCTGCTGTAATGCCGAAATGTTTATTGTTATTTATCGGCCACAATTTCCATTCAAGGGAGAACATCCACCCATAAAATGGACCATTTTCACCTTCCCTGCTCGACAGACGAACCTGTTTCGGTTTCACTGCTCAAATGGGTTTTATTGTCTGGACCGACTATATTGTTTAGCAATTAATGGGCTGCAATTAGGCGTTAATTGCATTTAGTTGGTCATTGCCGTTTGCTGCCGGATCCATGGCAAATATGCGGTTATCCTGGCGTAGACAGTGGGCCCCCCCACCTGGCATCCTTCGGCACTGCCGAACGAGGTGACCCCAATCAGGTAGCTGACATTGCGCCAGTGGTACACCACGGGGCCACCAGAGTCGCCATTGCAGGCACCTCGTCCATTGCTTCCATCAGTGCACAGGTGACGCCGCTGGCTAACCAAGCCTGGCAGGAAATAGCAGATACAGCGTTCCTGGTCCATCACCTCCGCATCCAAGTACTGCAGATCTCGAGTGCGTTGGTCGGTTGAATCTCCCAAGTAACCCCAGCCAGATAGGGTCACCACTTTGCCCACCAGAAAGTTTTGATGCATGAACTCCCCAGCCAACTCAATGGGTTGCACTCGCTCTGAGATTCTGACTTTTCTGGGCAGCTGTATCAAGGCCAAGTCATTATATCCCCCGAAACCTAAGAAATCGGGATAAATCAGGAAATCTCTATGCGTGACTTCTAACTCCTCCACGGAGTCATCCAAATCCGCAAATATGGTGCCACCCGTGTAGATCTTGGCTGCTATGGCGTCGGTCAGGCAGTGGGCTGCAGTCAACACAAACTGGAGCGTGATAAGGGAACCGCCGCACTTGACCAGATCTGCGCCACTCAGCTGAATCACTAGACCCACTTGATGGGGAAACATGCCGCGCGTGGCCAGTTCTCCGCCAGCTATTCGAGTTCTCACGGAAGAGCTGTGATTTGCCTCCATCTCGAATTTCTCGCAGCGAAGTCGAAAGTTCTCATATCCCAGCTGCCAACGTCTTTCCGTGATGGCCTCATCATCATCCGGTGACTCTTCCCTGGGGTCCTCAAAATGATGCATCCAAGGCTCACTTGATTTCACCAGTGTGGATAATAGAAGTGGGCAGACGAGTGCACTTATGGCCTGGTATTGCTTCATCTTATCACTGCAGAATTAAATAAATAATACGGGGAATACCCCGTTATTACATTCTGCGTATATATATCTTTTGAATGCAATACTCTGTACAAGTTCATGGCATACCCATTAAACACGTGAACCCCTTTCGTACCCTTTTCGCTATGTTGAATGAAATTTATGAATGGATCGCCTTCCTATTTGCCAATATACACCCAGATATCTGATGTTCCTTGTAATGAGTTAGTCCCAGTTCAGGTCTGAGTGGGCTCTTCATGTGAAGTATGGGGTTTTTGTTGTTTTAGCTGGTGTTTTTATAGTCAGCGATTGTGGCATCGACATTGCGTCATCGTCTTGGATTCGGCACGTGTCCGCATCGTTTGTTAATTGAATTTGCTTGGGCCGAGTGCAAATTATACCAACGGAGACGGGAGGAGCAGCAGATGCTTGGCATTCAGTTCCTCAAGCTACCGTGTAATTGCCGCACGTTTTGGCGATTATGTTGCTCAGGCTAGGCCTTCGTCTCCCTTTGACGTACTGCAGTTCCCTTAATTGCTTTCGAACCATTCATTTTCCCGGGCCTTCAACTGCACGATTTCATTCCTAGCCCCCAACTCTGGCCAGAATGTCTGGGTCGGGGTCTCTGTATTTATTGACCGTCGCTTGGTTATCAACGCTTAGTTTATTATTTCTTTAATTTACTGCACGCCGTCGCCTGCATTCCGACACTTGGAAAGGCCATTGATAATTTTCCGGGAGCCGATCGGCCATGAAGTTTTACCCACCAAGGCTCCCCATTGGTAATCACCTTGGCGATATCATAAGCCACAAGTGCATTTAGTTAGGCTATAGGAGCTAACTACTTCTTATAACTAAACACAGTCTTATTAAAATAACGTTTAGTAAAATTGTTAGTGATAAGGCTGGTGTAATTGGTCATTAAATAAAACGACAACTTGTATATCTAGTGGTAATATTGTTGAACTTGTATTTAACAAAATTACAAACTGTGCTCGTTTGGCCACAGTACTGAAAATACATTAATTAAAAGGCAAAAGGCGGCAATATTTGTAAAATTACTCATTTTTCGTTTTATTTCATCATTTTAATGTTTGCAAGTCTCCATAAACACTTAGATACCGGCCTTGTTCTTGATCCAATCGCGGAAGTAAGTGATACGAGTGAAGGCAGCTGGAGCGCCGGACTCGCAACCGTCAGCGGATCCGAAGGAGGTGGCACCGATGAGGACGCCATCGAGAGCCAATGGGCCGCCGGAATCGCCCTGGCAGGTGGAGGACTTGTTGGGGGTAGCAACGCAGAGGACCCTGCTGGTCACGATCAGGCTTCCGAAGGTCTGCTGGCACACGGAGTTGGGGATAACGGTGAGGTCGACGTACTGCAGGTTACGGGCCACGGCGGTGGCGGAATCGGAGGTGAGTCCCCAGCCGGAGGCGACAGCGGTCTTGCCCTCGTAGGTGGAGTAGCTGTTGGAGATGGCGGGCAGGGCGATCTTGTTCACGGAGGACGAGAAGGCGACGCTGGAGGTCTTGATCAGGGAGATGTCGTTGCGGATGGTCAGAGCCAGGTAGCTTTCGTGCTGGATGAAGTTCGAGCTGGACACGGTCTGGGTGAACTTGGGGCTAGTGCGGACAGTGGCGCCGTAGGAGATGGTCACGGAGGCGGCACTGCATTGGAAAAACTCTCGTTAGCCAGGAGTCCTCGTGGGGAAGCAAATCCACTTACCCGTCGGTACAGTGAGCAGCAGTCAACACCCAGTCGTTGGCGATGATGGAGCCACCGCACCACCAGCTGCCTGCAGAGCTGGAGAAACTGAGTCCCACCTGGTAGGGGAACTGGTCGGCCACGGCGTCCTTGCCGTTGGTGATGCGACCGGCGATGGATGCGCTCGATACCCTGTCGCGGGGATGCACCGGAGCGACATTGGGCAGGAGCCCAGCGGAGGCGGAGGCCAGAGCCAGAACCAAAACTACGAAAACCTTCATGCTGATGAGTGCTCAAACTATGAGTGATTTTCCCTTGCCAATGAGGCCTCTTTTATACCCAGACCGAGGTATCTTATCTGTATCGATGGCTGGCCAGGTCCACTTAAATGTTCTGATTAAGTGACGCAGAAATTAATTTTTTTTGTTATATAGCAAAACTTTTGTAAAACTTTTCTGACCGATAAGATTTTAATGCAGCGACTTGCAATTATTTGTTTATCACAAATTAGAGACTTTAAATTGTGTGAATGAAAGCATTACTGCTCAATAATCGGTTGCTTCCGATCCGTCGTAAACCAGTTTTAGTTTGGTTAAACACTATTTTTTTCTTACTTATCAATATTTCTTTATCTCAACTGCCCATTTACGCCGTAACTTATGAAGTAAGCCATAAATATTATAGAAACTTATAGAAAAATCTAAGAGCAAACAGTTGCTTTGGCAAATTAATTGTCGTATTCTTGGTAAACTGGAAACGATGTTACCTTAATGATGTAATGCACATTAGCTTGTCCTTCTAAAGACTAGTTAGCTATTTAAGATTTACAACGCTGTTGTTTCCTTGCTGGTTGAACGACAGTATAAAATGATCCAATACCGGAATATGCTTACTCTTGAAAGTGTATTCGATTCACATGAAGGTTTTTGTCGTTTTTGTCTTGGCAATTGCCGCCGTTTCTGCTGAAGTCCTGCCCAAGGACACTCCAGAACATCCCCGTGATAGCCCAGCTATTTCGTCCTTAGATGGTCGCATTACCAATGGAAAGAAGGCAGCTGCTAACCAGTTTCCCTACCAGGTGGGACTTAGTTTCAAAAGCTCCGCCGGCAGTTGGTGGTGCGGTGGTTCGATCATAGCAAATAAATGGGTTCTAACTGCTGCCCATTGTACCAAAGGGTGAGCCACTTTTCTCAAAACCTATTCTGGATTTAGCATTTCACACTTTTCCCTGCAAGAGCCTCTTCTGTGACCATCTACTATGGATCCACGGTTCGCACCAGTGCCAAACTGAAGAAAAAGGTCTCCAGCTCCAAGTTTGTGCAGCATGCCAGTTACAATGAGGCCTCTTTGCGCAACGACATCTCCCTGATCAAGACTCCATCCGTGACTTTCACGGCTTCCATCAATAAGATTGCCCTGCCCGCCATCGCCAGCAGCTACTCCACATACGCCGGACAGACGGCAGTGGCCTCCGGATGGGGCAGTACCTCCGATTCCACCATTGCCGCTGTCACGAACCTTCAATATGCTGAACTTCAGGTCATTACCAACGCTGTGTGTCAGCAGACCTTTGGCTCATCAGTGGTCACCAGTGGAGTGATCTGCGTGGCCTCCAGCAACAAAAAGTCGACCTGTCAAGGCGACTCTGGCGGTCCTTTGGCTTTGAACAATAGGCTAATTGGAGTGACTTCGTTTGTGTCCTCGAAGGGATGTGAGAAAAATGCCCCTGCTGGTTTCACTCGCGTCACCAGCTATCTGGATTGGATCAAGAGCAAGTCCGGCGTTTTTTATTAGCCTTAATTCAGAACAAGAACAATAGAGAACGATTCAGTCTGGTCCCTCGACTATCAGATACCCGTTACTCAGCTAGTGGGATTGCGAACAAGAAATTTCAACATTTTCTGGCAATTCGATGTATACTCCCATACAAAATAAAAAAAATAAAAAAAATTAAAAATTTCTCATAAGTGCGGCCAAGGGAGCTTAAGGCGTGGCAATAAATAACCATTGAAATTAAGTGGCTATGGGAAAGAACCCAACGTCTTATCTTCGTTAGCCACTGGTTAGGGAAAATCCCTATCACCTAAATCAATTCGTGTGTTAAATTGCAGGTATATGAGTGCTATAATTGCTCGATGCTTTTTATAGCACCGACTGCGTCTTCTATTCTTTGTGCAGCAAAGTTAGGCAAGTGATTTTCCCCAAAGAAGTGGGTTAATACCATAATTCAAAGTCGAACTAGATAGCTTGGGATTCGCCCAATACGTTAAAGTGATAATCTCTAGGGGAAGGTGTATAAAAGACTCAATTATAAACAGTAAGACACTCACTAAACGTACAGCATTCAACATGAAGGTCCTAGTAGTTTTTGTTCTGGCCATCGCCGCTGCCTCCGCTGGGGTCCTGCCCCAGATCGAGCCAGTGCATCCTCGAGACAGGATCACGAAACCAACCATCAATGGACGCATAACCAATGGAAAGAATGCAGTTGCGAACCAGTTCCCCTACCAAGTGGGACTCAGCTTCGTCTCGTTGAAAGGAAGCTGGTGGTGCGGCGGCTCCATCATCGACAACTCCTGGGTGGTCACCGCTGCTCACTGTACCGACGGGTAAGATTAGTTTCTTTCCGAGGGAGAGAACAACAAACTCATTTGGAATACCCTTTTCCCACCAGCGCCTCATATGTTACCGTCTACTATGGAGCAATCGACCGATTTAGCCCCCAGTTCACCCAGACTGTCTCCAAGTCCAGCTGGATCCAGCATGCCAACTACAATGCAAAGACCATCAACAACGACATTACCCTAATCAAGACTCCATCCGTGTCCTTCTCGGCTGCCGTGAAGAAGATCAAGCTGCCCGCCATCGCCAGTAGCTACTCCAACTACGTGGGGGAGACCGCAGTTGCCTCCGGTTGGGGAATGACCGCCGATACGAAGCCCGGAGCTACCAAGAACCTGCAGTACGCTGATCTGACCGTTATCGCCAACTCCGTGTGCCAGAAGACCTATGGATATTTGGTGGTCACCAGCAAGGTTATCTGCGTCGCAACAACCAACGCCATCTCCACCTGCCAGGGCGATTCTGGTGGTCCTTTGGCTCTGGATGGTACTCTCATTGGTATTACCTCCTTTGGAGCTGAGGACGGCTGTGAGATTGGTCTTCCAGCTGCTTTCACCAGGGTGACCAGCTACTTGGATTGGATCAAGGCCAACTCTGGCATCGTCGGCTAGAAGAGTTGTGAAAAGCCCTAATTGTTGTGAAAAATTGTAAAAACAACAATAAATTGTTGAATTTGATTTGCAAGCTAAAGTAATTTTTTCTTACTACAACAAATCTATTAACTATGTTTATTGGGGAATTACCCATTGACTATTGATAAAGTTTCCGGAACTGGTTGCCTAATCATGTTGACGGCTTAAATCCGTATGATTCAAAATCTGTATTGGTTATCAATTGGATTGTGAAACTTAAATTTAAATTATGACTTCTTCAACTGGGTAAAAACCTAAACAATGATTCCTTATCTTGGGAAAAATATTTCTTTTGGGTATTTCCAGTTTGATTTAGATTTGCTTGATTTTGCGCGTCAACTTATTTACAGGTGCTATTGTTTTAGATAAGTGCGATTAATATTATGTTATGACCTTATATGAAAATCTGTTTGCGGCCATACGATTTTATTGTACAAGTCACACTATTCATTCAATTGTTTTACAAACTTCTATATTCCAACTTCCATGTGTATTACTATATTGCCTAAACTGATATTTCTTGTCTTCTCCATTTGCAAACGGAAATGGCTGCCGAGTACTTCAGTATTGTTTGACTTCCATCCAATGGCAGGCGCATCATCGAACTTTTGTTTGCTTTTTGTTCAATTTTTATTAGATACCATTTCTTTGCGTGCCTTGACTGTTTTGCTACTTGAGCCGAACCATCGAGGTTCGAGCTCTGTTTTTATGTTTATGCGGAAATCTGCAGAAATTGTGTCAATATCAATAAAATTAGATTAGTATCGACGAGGACGAGGACGACGCCGACAAACAAGCAACCGAAGTGTGGCAGGCAACAAATAAAGTCCCTCCCCCTCCACCCGCTTCCGTCCTTAAGCCAATTTCATGTGTTGTGGGCTGCTTCCGTTTTCGGGCTCACTTCCGGTCCCCTTCCTTATGTGTGTGTGTGTGTGGGAGTGGGTGTGTGTATGTGACAACTGTTTAAATGCCTTGAAATTGTTGCAATTTTGATCCGTCCCAATTGGGCAAAGTTTTCGGTGGGTACAAAAGCATAGGGCCCCACTTAATCTCAGTTAATTTTCTTAATGGAAAAGTTTTTCTCAGCTCCTTTCATTCATTTTCTCCCCTTGGACTAGGCTCAAAAATTGCTTTTCACTTAATTCGCGTTGGTGGGGCTGGTGAATTTTTATGCATCAACCCAATTTTCATAATGCGCAAATTAGAAAAGTTTTTCGCTTCAAGTTTGCCCAGCGAATTTCCCCTATTGAATTTGCGCTCGCCTTAAAGCTGTTTTCCCCTATTGATTTCGCATTCAAAACATTTACGTGGCATTATCGCTGGCTTTTCATTTTCTCACTACCCCGCAACAATAAACAACATGAACAATTGTGTCTCCATTTCTCATCTGGTAGCGTAATCTTTTATATAAACACAGCCCTGGCGCTCCAACACTTTCCACTCGGTGTCCAACTAAGAAAAACATTTGCACAAGGAGCCCGCCGAATGGCGGGAAATGCCGGAAAAGTCCGGAAAAGCGGAAGAGGAGGTCTTCGCTCCGCGTCGACTGAATCACGTGACGAATGATTGAGTGCACTTCTGTGTGCGCTTTTTCACTTAAAATGTGCGATTTCAATCACTAAAAGCAAAGGTACACATCGGAAAATCGAATCAGCCATGGCTGATGGAGTTTCTGAAGTGCTTGCCGCACTGGTTTTTGTTTTTTTTTTTTTTTTTGCCAGTCGAAGAACCATTAACCGCAAGGTGAGCAAAAACAAAAGACATTCGCAGTGCATTCAAAACCGGAAGAGGAAGTTGGCAATAAAAACGCTGAAACAAGTTATGTGCAAAATGTCCGGGACACGTGATGGACTTTTCACCTTACAAAAAAAAAAGTAAGAATGCCTGAGGACCTCTGCTAAACATTCCGCACATCAAAAACGACGCGCCACTTAACAAATCCCGAGTTGTCGTTGCGTGCTACGTGACTGGCATACAAAGCGGCCAAAAGGACTCCTGGCGGCAGGACCCGAAAACAATAGCTCTGCTTTGGTCCGCCGGAATGTGCTTGGCCCGCTCGTTACTTTATGGCCAGCCGGCAAAACGCTTTCACGCACGCCCACCCACGCCCCGCCGCCCCCTTGTCCAGCTGGCGACCTGCCGCGCTTAATTTCCGCTTGTAATGGACGCACGATAAATCCTGGCAAGCGTTTCCGAATCCTTAGGACTTTCCTCACGCGGCACGCAATCGAAATATATATATTTTAGAGACTGTCCCCCTTCACGTGCACTGCTTGTTGCACTCGCCGAGCTTATAAGTTTTATTATACCCCTTACTCGTAGAGTACAAGGGTATACTAGATTCTTTGAAAAGTTTGTAACAGGCAGAAGAAAGCGTTTCCGACCATATAATATATATTCTTCATCAGGATAATTTTTTTTGTAACTTTTTTTATGTTATGATGTAGAACTTCAAAAAAATTAAGAAATGGCTAATGGCTGAAGTCCTAAACTCCATAACTCAACTAATCTTAATCGGATTTTGAAGTGGCATACCTCTAAATGTTTCTGGCGCAATTCTCTAAAAATCTGCATTCAAATTTAGAAATTAATTTTTTTTTTAATTTTTTGTAATTTTTTTGATGTTATGATGTCGAAATTCAAAAGTATTAATATGTGTCCCAAGGCTGAAGTTCTAAACTCCATAACTCAACTAATCTTAATCGGATTTTTAAGTGGCATACCTCTAAATGTTTCTGGCGCAATTCTCTAAAAATCTGCATTCAAATTTAGAAATTAATTTTTTTTTGAATTTTTTGTAATTTTTTTGATGTTATGATGTCGAAATTCAAAAGTATTAATATGTGTCCCAAGGCTGAAGTTCTAAACTCCATAACTCAACTAATCTTAATCGGATTTTTAAGTGGCATACCTCTAAATGTTTCTGGCGCAATTCTCTAAAAATCTGCATTCAAATTTAGAAATTAATTTTTTTTTTAATTTTTTGTAATTTCTTTGATGTTATGATGTCGAAATTCAAAAGTATTAATATGTGTCCCAAGGCTGAAGTTCTAAACTCCATAACTCAACTAATCTTAATCGGATTTTTAAGTGGCATACCTCTAAATGTTTCTGGAGCAATTCTCTAAAAATCTGCATTCAAATTTAGAAATTAATTTTTTTTTAAATTTTTTGTAATTTCTTTGATGTTATGATGTCGAAATTCAAAAGTATTAATGTGTGTCCCAAGGCTGAAGTTCTAAACTCCATAACTCAACTAATCTTAATCGGATTTTGAAGTGGCATACCTCTAAATGTTTCTGGAGCAATTCTCTAAAAATCTGCATTCAAATTTAGAAATTATTTTTTTTTTGAATTTTTTGTAATTTTTTTGATGTTATGATGTCGAAATTCAAAAGTATTAATATGTGTCCCAAGGCTGAAGTTCTAAACTCCATAACTAAACTAATCTTAATCGGATTTTGAAGTGGCATACCTCTAAATGTTTCTGGCGCAATTCTCTAAAAATCTGCATTCAAATTTAGAAATTAATTTTTTTTTGAATTTTTTGTAATTTTTTTGATGTTATGATGTCGAAATTCAAAAGTATTAATATGTG